AGGCTATAAGTAGCTAAGTTTTAGGGGAATCAAAGGTTATGTGTGGATTTTTGACTGTGTTGGGGACATCAGTGACCCTATTCCCTGCATTGTTGAAGGGTCAACTGTAATTGCTGAGGATTTGGTTCTAAATTAGTTGATAGAGTTTTTTGGTTTTAATTCTCAGTCAATAATGCTAGCACTAATCTTACCTCGATGCTTTGGCCACTGTACTTCACATCAGAGGTCGAAGACTCTACAACAAGAAAAAAAATAACTGGATATTCTTAGTAGTAGAGAGAAAACAGTCTCAAGCCAGAGTCTGCGGGTGAAGTAGTGCAGACGCTAAGGGGTCTGAGGAAAAGCTGTAGATATTGGAGGCTTCCCCTGTGGAATTCACACAGAGGTGAACTCATTACGCAAAACTTCAGGCTACTGCCACCAGCAGGGGTTGCTGTTTTATATTTCTATCTCTATTCTGAGAGAAAACCCGAGATCTCTGGACCGCAGAGCCGACCACTGATCACTCACAGAACATTGTAATGCCAGTTCCCCACATCCCAGTTCCTCACAGGGCAAAGTGATGAGAGCCGGGTGTCGACCTGCGTAGCTGGTAGAGTTGCATCACAGGAGGGAGCCCTGGAATGATGAGACTCAGGGGGTGTATTGGGTGGGTGGCACTTTAGCCCGTCTTTCCCTCCAGAGAAAGAGAGAACTTTCCTATGAATTGTAAGCAAATGCCTCCAGGAGAAAGGCGCCTCTGTGTTTTATTACCCTAGAATATAAGCAAACAGCTTTTGGGGAAATCAGTCTCTAAACCTCTCTGGAGCAATACACTAACTTCTGAGGCGTTTTTGCTGTTCAATCATCTTCTGACTGGTTTCCTAGTGTTTTTTGCTTAGAAAGCCTGAACTGTGCAGAAATGTGAAAATATTCTTATATGTGTCTCCCAACAGTTGTTTAAACTAGATCAACCACAAACTCTGAAAGGTGAGTATGAGGAAGACTCACCCAGGTAATGAGATGGGACTTACTAGGTAGTATAAAACCTGGAAGTTGGGGCCGGGCGCGGTGGCTCAAGCCTGTAATCCCAGCACTTTGGGAGGCTGAGGCGGGTGGATCACGAGGTCAGGAGATCGAGACTATCCTGGCTAACATGGTGAAACCCCGTCTCTACT